TGCAGGGAGTGCCCTGCCACATGCCTGGCTTCAGTGACTTTTCTTTACATTGGAGGAAGATTCTACAAGCCAGTTCCTATATCCTTCTTGACTCTAAATCCAAAATCGATGCTCCACACGATCCCCCCAACCTACCCCCCACCCCCCTCCCCAAGGATAGTGAAGCCCTCCACAGGGGACCATCAAAGTCTGCCACATCATTTGGGGGAGGGCCTAGGTCCTCTTTCTTGTATCTGGACTGCAATAGTATCCCTCCATAGAGAATGGGCTCCCAAAGTCCATTTGTACTATAAGAATAAATACTGGCTTCACTGTTAGAGCTCCCATAGACTGCCCTGGCCTCCTAGCTGGTACACACATTCAAAGGGCTTGTTTCGGTCCAATGCTGGTTCCCCAGCTTTATGACTAGGGGTCTCTGTGCTCTCAGTAGGTCAAGTCAACTGTTTCTGCGGGTTTCTCCAGCATAATCTTGGCTCCTTTGCTCATCCCTTCTCCCTTTCTGGATTCCAGAGTTATGGCTCAGTTTAGCTGTGGGTGCTTGTTTGTGCTTCAATCAGCTACTGGATGAAAGCTCTCGGAATGGCAACCAAGGGAGTCATCAATCTCATTATAGAGGAAGGGCATCAAAGGCAGCCTCTCTACCACTGCCTAGATTCTTAGTTGGGGTCATTCCTGTGGATTCCCTAACTTTTCCCCTATGCCCCGACCCCTCTCTAAACCTATTCTGGCTCCCTCTATCAAGGCATCTCCTTTCTTGCCCTCTTCTGTTCCTCCCCAGTGTTCTCTCCTGTTTTCCTCCCCCCTCCTTTTCTCCCCCTCTCCCCTTCCTTCCTCCTTCCTGTGTCCCCCAGTGCTTCCAATTTGCTCAGGGATTCTTGTCCCCCTCTCCTACTTTGGGGGAAGCATGTGTTCTTCTCTTGGGGTCCTTCTTGTTTCCTAGTTTCTCTGGTGGTGTGGATTGTAGGCTGGTAGTCCTTTGCTCTGTGTCTAATATCCATATATGAGTGAGTACATACCCTGCTTGTCTTTCTGTGATTGGGTTATCTCACTCAGGATGTTTTCTTCTAGTTCCATCCATTTGCCTGAGAATTTCAAGATTTTATTTTATTTTTTTACGCTGAGTAATACTCCATTGTGTAAATGTACCACATTTTTCTCCATCCACTCTTCCGTTGAGGGGCATCTAGGTTGTTTCCAGGTTCTGGCTATTACAAACAGTGCTTGAAAGAACAATACTCAACTTTATATGGAAAAACAAAAAACCCAGGGTAGCCAAAACAACCCTGTATAATAAAGCAACTTCTGGCGGCATCACCACCCCTGACTTCAAGCTCTATTACAGAGTCATAGTCCTGAAAACAGCTTTGTATTGGCACAAAAGTAGACAGGTAGACCAATGGAATCAAATTGAAAACCCTCATATTAACCCACCCACCTACAAACACCCGATTTTTGACAAAGAAGCTAAAGTTATACAATGGAAAAAGGAAAGCATCTTCAACAAATGGTGCTGGCATAACTGGATGTGGACATGTAGAAGATTGCAGATAGATCCATTTCTATCACCATGCACAAAACTTAAGTCCAAATGAATCAAAGACCTCAACATAAATCCAGCCACACTGAACCTCTTAGAAGAAAAAGTGGGAAATACCCTTGAACAAATTGGTACAGGAGACTGCTTCCTAAACATAACACCAGTGGCACAGACATTGAGATCGACAATTAATAAATGGGACCTCCTGAAACTGAGAAGCTTCTGTAAGGCAAAGGACACAGTCAACAAGACAAGCCCACAGAATGGGAAAAGATCTTCACCAACCCCACATCTGACAGAGGGCTGATTTCAAAAATATACAATGAGCTCAAGAAGCTAGCCACCAAAACACCAAACAATCTGTGGGTACAGAACTAAATAGAGAATTCGCAATAGAGGAATCTAAAATGGCTGAAAGGCACTTAAGAAAGTGCTCAACATCCTTAGCCATCAGGGGAATGCAACTCAAAACAACTCTGAGATACCATCTTACACCTGTCAGAATGGCTAAAATCAACAACACCAATGACAGTCTATGCTGGAGAAGATGTGGAGAAATAGGAACACTCCTCCATTGCTGGAGGGAGTGCAAACTTTATGATCACTTTGGAAATCAGTATGGTGGTTTCTCAGGAAAATGGGAATCAGTCTACCTCAAGATCCAGAAATTCCTCTCTTGGGCATATACCCAAAGAATGTACATTCATACAACAAGGACATATGTTCAACTGTGTTTATAGCAGCCTTGTTTATAATAGATTTATTATTTCTAATCCAACTTATTTCACTTTGCTCCTCCATATTTCTGCGGATGGTGTCAAAATAGAATTTTCATAGTCTCTTAATAATGGGTGCATGGATTTAATACAGAGAGAGGTATTGCTTATAATTATACATATGTATATATACAAATATACATATACGTATACATACATACATTCACACACACAAATATATGTATACATACATACATTCACACTCACACTTGCACATATATAATTTGGTTTTTCGAGACAGGGTTTCTCTGTGTAGCCCTGGCTCTCCTGGAACTTGCTTTATAGACCAGGCTGGCCTCAAACTCAGAGATTTGCCTGCTATTGCCTCTTGAGTGCTGGGATTAAGGGTGTTTACCACCACCACCCAGCAAGAGGTATTGCTAATAATTATAAATAGTTAAGACTAGATATTGAGAGATCTCCCTGGTTCCAGATCTCCAGAGACCTACAAGGATGACACGATCTGACAATCCAGGCAAGGGTGGAGAGGATAACCTAAAAGCCCTTCCCCTAAGATGAGATTGATGACTTCTCTTTATGCCATCCTAGAGCCCTCATCCAGTGGCTGATGGAAGCAGAGACAGACATCCACAGATATACACTGAGCTGAAATAGGGAATTTAGTTGAAGAGAGGGAGGAATGAAGATCGAAGGGGTCTGTACCAGGTTGGAGAAACCCACAGGAACAATTGGCCTGAACAAGGGAGAGCACATCAACCCCAGATGCTGTCGGGGAGCATCTGTCGGGGAGTACAAGACTGATCCAGATCCCTGAACATGGATGTCAATAAGGAGGCCTCTGCACTCCAGGGAGCCTCTGGTGGTGGATTAGTATTTTTCCCTGGTGTGAGAAGGGACTTTGAGAGCCCATCCCACGGGGGGTGGGGGAGGAGGTAGGGGGTGAGGGGAGGGAGAGGGAGAAGGGACTTACATGTGAAACAAGCTTGTTCCCTAACTAGAACTAATAAAAAAGAGAGAGAGATAGAGAGAAAAAGCCTAAAAAAAAAAAAAAAAAGACTAGATATTGAGACTGGTCTAGCTTGAGACCCATACCATGAGTGGGAGTCCATCTAGTCCTGCCTGGTGGGCTAGATCCAGAGATCTCAGATAGACCCATTTATGACTTGCAAAAAAAAAAAAAGTCAATGAAATGATTCTGCTGTACTCATAGATTGGTGTGTAGCTCAGTTGTCACCAGAGAGACTTCACCTAGCAACTGGTAGAAACAGATGCAGAGACCCACAACTAAACATTAGGCAGAGCTCAGGGAATCCTGTAGAAAAGAATGAAGGATTATAGGTGCCAGGGGGGCCAAGGATACTAAGAAAACCCATAGAATCAACTAACCCAGGCTCATGGGGGCTCACAGAAAATCAGCCCTGCCTGGAACTGGCCTAGGCCCTCTGCACATATATTACAGTTGTTACTTGGTCTTTATGTAGGACTACTATCAATGGGAGCAGGGGCTGTCTCTGACTCTGTTGCCTGCTTTTAAAACCCTTTCCTCCTACTGGGTTGCCTTGCCAGCCTTAATAGGAGAGGAGGTGCCTAGACTTATTGCAATTTGATATCCATGTTTGATTGATATCATGGACAGCCTGCCCTTTTCTGAAGATAAAGGAGGAGGAGTAGGTGGTGCAGAGTGGGGTGGGGAAAAGTGGGCTTGGGGAGAGAGTCTGGGAGGAGAGAAGGGAGAGAGGGGAAACTGTGATTGGGCAAGAAAAAAAAGTAATAAAAGGAGAATGGACATTGATTAGGTGAACTACTTACATTTAGATAATGGAGTTTTCTATAACTTAAAATTACATAGAATAATATTCAATAGCATAAAATAATACTGGCAAACTAAATTATAGTATTTATGTGTTCTATTTTGAGTTTTAGAAGTATGTGGGTATGGGCTAGAGAGATGGCTCAACCATTAAAGGCTAGGCCCACAACCAAAAATATAAGAAGTACATAGATACATAAGAGATGAACAGATAAGCACTCAAAACATTTTATTATGGTTATTGTGTTGCATGGGATTAAAGGGATGATTTTCATATTTTGCTCTCTTCCTAGTTTTTTTTTTTTTTTAAGTAGACATACATTGCTTCCAGATGAGGAAAAAAGTTCCAAACCTAAGGGAAAATGAGATAAACAGCATCTCCTGTAGGCATCTGCTCTGTGGACCTGTAACAGTGGCCACACCCATTTGGCTGTAGTTTCAGGCAGATGGAAGCGGAAAGATAGGAGCTTGAGGTGTAGCTTTGCTTCGAGTATTCTTTCTGGAGGGTCAGCAGATCCTGTAGGAAGAGCAAGGGAAACACTCCAGTGGTTCTTTGTATTTTCGTGTGTAATTGTCCCCAATAAACACCCATTTATCATTTATCTTGGGTCTAGTGATATAATTACATTCTTGCCTTCAGTCTCCCATTCTTGAGGGAGCTGTACTTTCTTGAACTTTTTAGCAATGGTAAAAAATAGTGTTGGGTATATAGTGGACAATATTCATCACTTGTTGAAGTAGTGTTATCTATATTTAAGAGTAGTTAAAGCTTCCAGGAACTTCTACTTACATAGTTCTTGGAGAAGTATTCTTTTTTGGGGCAGAGGGAGAAGAAACATTTTCAGTAAGAAACACAAATGAAACGACCTGACCACAGTGGGTGTTGCTTTTAATAATTCATCGCTTGCCATTTCAGAGGATATTGTGGCCAAAGGGGGATCACATGGAAGTGATTCATCAGAAAATATATTTACTGCTGAAAAATTGATCCGTAAAAATGAATCCAATGGTCATCATTTTAGGAATACGGCCATCTTTCCTCATACTTCGTCGGAATGCTCAGAAGAGGACCAGGTAATTCTGTCTTATGTTTATAGAAACTGCTTGAAGAAGAAAGCATTGTGCCCAGGAAAAGAGACCATTCTCTGCTGAGAATTGAGTTGTTACATGCCAGTGTGTGATAATCCTTAGTTTTTGGTAAAAACTTCTTAGGGATCTGCCATGTAGATGCTTCATGGAATTATATATTTTGTTTTTAACAAGAGAGTTCCCTTTTCTACATCTTTGTATAAACTGGTCTTACTTTTTCCTGCCCTAAACTTACCACATTTAGACTTAAAGTAGAAGCCAGTATTTTTCTTTTTCTAAGATTTGGTTTGTAGATATTAGATGCTATTCTGTAATCATTAAGACCTCATCAACAGTATTCATTGCCTCTTTGGCTATCATGTTTAATTATCAAGGAATGAGAATTCAGAGTGTTTCCTTTAAAAGCCATATGAGTCTTGATTAATTTTAGAAAAAAGGCATTTGAGTTTCTCTTTATGGTTTGCAATGTTTTCCATGTGATATCATGGACAGAATTAAATGAGCCTTTGTTTTTTATAAGGGTCAGAAGTGTCTGTAATAGAAATGTGTTAGTATAGATGCTTTTTTTAGAGCTTGCATCTAGTGATGGCTGTGAGATATGAGCTGTTTTTCTGTAAAAGATTCACACTCTACTGGTGAAGATTGAGATCGTACTAAATATAGGGAGGCCTAGAATTGTTATATTGTAGCTGAAGTCTCTGATTTGTGTATCAGAGGTTCACTGGGGGGCAGAGGAAGAGGTGGAACAGCTGTCTGTTTTATACACAAGCAAGCTGGAGTTAAGTTACTTGCTATATGCTGGGTGAGACTAGGGTACCAGAATTGGGGTTGGACTTGCTGTAACCATTGCTATAGCTTAGAGACTCTGGTCTTTCATATATTGCTAGGAACAGAAACTATTATTTCGTGACTGTGTGTCCTTACCTTGTTTTCAGATAGTGATTGATGAAGGCCAACAAGTTGGCAGCTTTCTTCAAGGTGATATGACACGGGCTGGAAAGGTGAAGGTAAGGCTGGATTCAGTTAGATGCATTGGGAAGAACACACAGCAAACAAATGAACTGTATTAGCAACTTTTCTGTTACTGTGATGATTCACCATGACCGAGGCAACTTCGAAAGGAAGAGTATATATAGATAAAAGACAGTCATGGTGGGGAGGCGTAATAACAAGCAGCAGGCAGCAGGGAGCCGAGAACTCACATCCTCAACCACAAGCAGGAAGCACAGAGAATGAACTAGAAGTAGGTAAGGATTTTTACTCACAAAGCCCACCCCTGGTGATAGACTTCTTCCAGCAAGGCTTTGCCTCCCAAACCTCTCCAGGCAGCATCAACAACTGGCACCAAGTATTCAATTACTGGAGCTTATGGGAGATAGTTCTTATTCAAACTACCATACAAACCAATAGACAAACATGAGACTCTTGCTTTTCTTTGTACCTACCAAACTGAAGTTACACCAGATTTTATCCTTGAAAGGTTTTCATTTTTTAAGTCGGAATTGGAACATCTGAAACTGTTTGTGCTTGACTGGATTCTGGATCTTTTGTCCTTAAGGTTTAACAAATGGGAAGCCTAATTGTTAAGAAGAAAGGTGCTATAATATAACTGATTCTCAATTGTTAATATTGAAACTGTCATATGAAAGCTGAATTTTGCTTTTGAGTTTGCATGCTAAGGACTAGTTGCTCTTACCAGGTTAGAAGCATGGAAGGCACCATTTTCACTTTCTGTGGGGTTGGCATTGTCTGCCTACTACACATTCCATATTCAGCTCAGGTTGTCTTGAATTACAGTTAATGGATCTCAATTTGTAACTTTAAGGGCTTTTTTTTTTTTAAAGTATATGTTTAAGTTGTGAGCCTCAAATGGATGGCAACCTTGTGTCTTTTCTCCATGCCAAGTGCCAGCATTTTCTTATTTACCCTTTTTGATAGTCTCCTAAGATGCTCAATGTCAGTGGCAGTGGGAAGTGGTAGTTCATGAGGAATAAATAGTTCTTCACTGAAATTCTGCTGTTGGGTCTGGGAAAGTCATTTGCTGTGCTTTTTACCTTTGAAGTAATTCTCTGTTTTATTTGCCTGAAAGAGAGAACACTTGCTATTTTGTCCTGTTCACCCCTCATCCCTGGGCAGGATGATGTTGTTTTGAATGAGCTTTTCTTTTCTGTTCTCTTTAACTTCCTCTCTGGCTCTCCAGAGTGCTGTAAGAAAGTGTGCTATGAGAAAGGGTGGTGGCCCACCACCTCCACCATCCTGGTTGCTTGAGAAGCAGGAAAACCCAAACACAGAACCTGCTGTCCCCTCTGATAGTGGTGTTAAAAATTCTGGGAAGAAAATTTGGAACAGAGTCCCTTACCAGAAACCTCAGCCTGTTTTTCTTTTGCTATAGGGAGCAGGCTGTGTGTGGTGTGTAAAATGCTGGACTTGCCAGTGTCATGTTCCTGCGGATGGGAAAGCATATGCCTATAGCGGTGTTTACCTGGAGGTCACAGGAAAGCAGGTCCAGCTTTCAGCTGTGTGCATGGGTCCCTGACTACATTGCCTTTCTTTTGTCTAATATATGAAATATAATCTCAATCTTTTTGTAGGTAGACAACTTCTTAGACTTAGAAGATTTGGACATGGAGGAAGATAGTAAGCCCCAGATGAACAAGGGTATGTGCTCTCTGTCTTTTTCATACCGTGTGACCTCTTTCTAAAAACTACAAGTGATTTATATTGCTTTGTTATTTTTGGCAATTCTTACCTTACTGCCCTTGAAAAACTGCCCAGAAAAACTGAAGTTGTAAAATGCCTTTTTGAAAAGCAAAAGATTTTACGCAATCAGTTAGAGCCTTCTGAAACTTGCAAAACCTATGGTCTAAGTGAAATAGAGCTGTCACTTTCCTTCCCCCAAAATTCAGAATAAATTAAACTATTAAATAATTGTGTCACATACAGCTCTTATAAAGTCATTGCCTTGTTTCCCAGTCTTGTAAACTGATATTTTTAAAGTAAATGTAAAACAGTAATTGATCATAAAAATCATAAAAATATGAAAATTGGTCACAAAATAAACAATAATATGTAGTATTTTGTCTTGAAAATTTATGAAATATGTAACACATATAGTAAATGCTTTTTCTGAGTCCTTTTCCCACACTCTACTGAAAAAGGCTTTATCTATGCTAATCCATTGACTTTTCCTATGGAGGATTACTTTCTCCTTTCTTTTTATTTATTTATTTTTATATATTTGAATTACAAACAAGATTGAATTACATGACGATCCCAGTTCCCTTCTCCCTCCCTTCCTCCTCTACCACCCCCATCTAAAATCCTACCTGTCATATGTCCCTGACTCAAAATTTCTGCTTCCTCATGACCTCTGCATCCTTCCTTTTCTTCCCTTCTCACTCTCGTAGCTTCCTCCCCCCTCTTCCCGTGTTCTCAATTTGCTCAGGGGATGGTGCCCCTTTCCCCTTCTCCAGGGGACAAAGTTTGTCTTTTTAGGGTCTTCTTTGTTTACTGGTATCTTTGGCAGTGTGGATTGTAGGATGGTAATCCCTTACTCTATGTCTAAAATCCACATATGAGTGAGTACATATCATGTTTGTCTTTTTGTGATTGGGTTACCTCACTCAGAATGGTTTCTTTGTGACTTTCTCCTTTCTTGGTTAGCATTTTTTGTATAAGCACAGGGACCTTTGAAGTTTTGGCTTGGAATATAGCTCAACTGAAGAGTGCTTGCCTAGAACACATGAAGTCCTGGTGTTTATCCTCAGCCCACCATTAAAACTGGGTGTGGTGGCACATGGGCTAATTATCAGCACATGAGGATCAAAAATTCAGGTCATCTTTGACTACATAGCCAGTCCGAGGTTAGGCTGTGCCTCATGAGAACCTATCTTTAAAAAAAAAAAAAAAGCAAGCAAATATTAACAATAGGAAACAGCAAAAATCCCTGGCTCTATTCAATGTGAGAGGACATCTTGAAGTTAAAGTTTAGGCACAGGAATTTTCCTATATGGGTTTGGTTGACCTTTTCCTGTTGTCACATTGTTTAGTCATAACCACAAATTATTGCTATTGTTGGGAGAAGAGTTTTCCTTGCAACTAGATATGCATTAAAGTGACTGTGGATAGCTAATTTGGTGTGGCAACTGTTTGTCACTTGATAGTGTAGGCCCCTGCCCTAGCTTGTTGGGCTTTGGGAATTTGAAGTAATGAAAATTTTTATTCTGCTTCCAAACGTCATCCTGCTTCATTGGAGGGTTGTTTCTCAAGTACCTCATCAGCCAGAAGACTGGGAGACTCTGAAGTTGCTCATTTCATCAAGACCAGAGATTGAGAGAAATCACATCCCTCAGGGAGGGGTGGCTGACTAAACCCCAGTGACTTTGAGTTTTTGTAAGACCTGATTAAGAGAGAGCCGAGAAGGGCAAACACCTGTTTTGGTTGATTTGGGGAATAAATCTTTTTTTTTTTTTTTTTTTTTTTTTTTTTTTTTTCTGAGACAGGGTTTCTCTGTGTAGCTTTGGAGCCTATCCTGGCACTCACGCTGGAGCCCAGGCTGGCCTCAAACTCACAGAGATCTGCCTGCCTCTGCCTCCCAAGTGCTGGGATTAAAGGCGTGTGCCACCAACTCCCAGCTGGGGAGTAAATCTTGCTTTCTTTAAAAAATGCAGATTCCTATATCCTTCACCCATAAGAAAACCTAATTCCCTAGTTCTTTGTTGACATCCCACAAACTGCACTTTTTAGCCATTCAGGTATTGTTTGAGTTTGACACTTTGAGACTACTGGTTCCTGCCTATATACAAAACATTTGGAAGATAAAATCAGTTTTATAGGTGTGCAGGAGAATGCCTGCACTGGGCATTATTGTGGTGTAGTTTCTCACTTCCTGCTAGCTTTGAGAAGGTCTGTACTTGTCACCAGTCATAGGGCTTGGTGTTCTTTTGCTCTTCCCAATAGAAATTGTGGATAGCTGAGGAGAATCCCTGTGAGTGTTGGTATTTGGAACTTTTTTTAAATGTCCCTTAGCATTTGATGGTAGTGAGCAGCAGCCACAGATGGGAGGGAGCAGCAACATGTAGCACCCTCTAGAGTTGCAACTTTCCTGCTGGCTCTGATGAGTGAGGCCCTTTGCTCCACTTGTTGGTTCATCTATTCTTATATAGGCCTACGGTACCAGGATCCTTAGTTTTATAAGTTGTAGGTCCTTGCATGCTCCAGCCATCGGCAGGACCAGTTTTGTATCTCCAGGGCCAAGGTTATCTGAGAGCCTTGGCCCTCTAGGCTTGAAAGGTCTCTAGAGCTCTTGCAGTGACACTGGCAGTGTGTTGCTGGAGAGTGAATGTACTTCAGGCACGGCAGTAGTCACCTGGGTTCATTGTATGGCTGTTGTGGATTTTCTAAAGATGTCTGTAGAAGGTTGAGAACAGCTAGTAGAAGCATCAGTGCAATCCACCTGGTTGTTTACCAGTCAGATGCTGAAGGCTGCCAGGGCAACATGGGACAACAGCTGTTAATTAGGGAGTCACACTAACCCATCCCAGACATCTTGCTTATTTACAGGGAAATGATCAGGATTGCTTACAACCAGAACCTACAGAGTGTTATGTTCACCAAAGCAAATAGTGATTGGTGAGATTGTAGCACTGTTTAACAGTGCTGAACACAGGCACTCGTATCAGGGAGGAATGGTTCCCCTTCATCGACCCACCATAAGTCAATGTGGCTAGCAAACAATATTTTTTACATAAACCTTTCCTATTATTTGTGAAATTGCTTCTTAAAAACATTTTTTCAAGGATGCTATTCAATTACCAGACTTATTTCTTTCTTTTAAAAAGTTGAATAGAAAGATCTCACTAGCATCATGTTTTCAGAAAGTAGATAGTAGGAGTTCTTGCATTTGTGTATAAACAGTAACTGAGGCTGATCCAAGTCTCAGTGGACTTGAATGAAATAGTCAAGACTGTCTTTTGTGTGAAATGATGTGTGAATTGATGGTCAACAGTGGATCCAGTCTGCAGTGATCTATTCCAATTACTAAAAGGCCACCAGGGTTTCCCAACTTTCATAATGTACAATTTGGGTCACTTGAAAGGAAGGAAGAAATTAAATGCCTTGTGCCAAAGTGAATTTCAGTGTGTGTCCTAATTTGTATTGCACTTCAGGAATGTAAGCAGAAGGCAAATATTTATATCAGATGGGAAATGTGACATTTTTAAATAGGCAAGTTGCTCGTATAATTTTGGCAGCTGGGAAGCTTACTGATTAGATTGTGTTGTTATTGTTTAAGCAACAGATTTGCCTGGGGCAACAAGGAAGCATGTTTTGTATTGTTTTTTCTACCATTGATTTTATTTGCTCACTGTATTCGCCTTCATAAATATTCTTCAAGATTCAAAAGCACAGTTCCTTTCCAGTGTTTGCCTTATTATTTTGACAGTCAAGGAGTAGAGTGTAGAGTCAAGTTTTTGGCAGAATCAACACAATGCACTAGTAGTCTGAGTGTAATATCTTCTACGAGGTTTGGTACCCTCTGTTCATTTGACATCAAGTTAGTGTTGTGATGTTCATTCAAATCCACTTGGGGAAATCAGAGGCTTAAACTCAATTCAAATTTAGATTAAATAAATTTATTCTTTCTTTTAAAAACCCTTTTTACTGATTCTTTGTGGATTTCACATCATGCATCCTGATCCCATTCATCTCCGTGTCCCTTTGTATCTGCCCTCTGCCCTTGCAGCGCTCCCAATAAAATAAAAATATCACTGTGGAAGCTGTAGTGTGACACAGTGAGTCACACAGTATACCCCTTCGTCCATACATCTTTACTTATAAGTGTTCATTGCAATGAGTCATTGGTCTGCTTTGAGGCCTCTGGGTTCTGCTACACTATCAATACTGGGCCCTCTTTGATATCCTGTTGTTGCCCTGTGTCATGGAGATCCTGCAGCTTTGAATCTGCAGAACTAGCCCTTTCATGAGCTGCAGCAGTTCATAGATGAGGCGGATGTTGTGGTGGGCTAACTCACAGCCCTGGTTCTGGGCCTGGCTGGTAACTGGGTTGGTCAGCCTGCCAGTTCTCTCTCATACTCACTACCAGGGCAAGCTATCCAGCACTGCCCCCCTCCCCCCAGCTCACCCAATGGAGCAGGCAGCAGGGGGCAGGGCCAGTTCTGCTCTCATGCCCTTGGGGTGGCTCACCCACTCCCACACCACCAGGGTCAGCTCTACTCTGTTGCCCAAATGAGGTGCAGAGCCCAGTCTCCCTAGTTCTGCAGCTGGTGAGGAGCAGAACCCTCACCAAGGCCAGCTTTCCTGCCTGCCACAGGAGAGGGGGGCATCTTTCCCTTGCCCATGCCACCACATGGTAGATGGGGGGAGCAGGGCTAGCTCTCCCACTCTCATTCTTTTAGGGCCAGCTTACCTGTGCCTCTGGCAACAGGGTCAGCTCTAATGGCCTGCTCTCCCATGTGCTGCAGGGCTAGCTCTCCTTCACTTGTGACCCTGGGACCTGCTCCCCTGCCTGCTGTGACAAGGGATGGGGGTGGGGTGGGGAGGACATCTTTCCCTCAACCATGCCACCACATAGCAGATGAGTGGGGTTGGGGTGAGCCCCCCTGCACTCACACTCACAGGGCTGGCTTACCTGTATCCGT